AAAAAAAAAAAAAAAAGGGAATCAGAGAGTTGAAAGAAGGAGGTCTTTGAAAAAAATGCATTATTTATTTCTCTGACTCCTACTAGAGAAATAAAACTTTTATTATAATAAAGCTTTTCAATTGAAATGTAACATACAAGATAGGACATATAACTATTAGCTTGAGAAATTTCCCAAGTTTATTTTCAACACTGAGCAATTCTTTATTCATGTGTACAAGTTACTTTCCTTGATGTTAAAAAGTCGACAGCTCCCGAAAAGTTGGAAGCTAGCTATTCAAGGCCAAAAAGCAAAATAGCTGTTGTGGAGCCAATGATTTTCTTGGTTGGTAAGACAGATGATTTGCCTCTCTTCCCATGCTTCAGGTGTAAAAACCAAACAAAAACGAGCCTCCAAAGCCTTACCTGAGGCTGTAAAGCACTTTCCCGTCGGGCTGGACCCGCAGCATCACATTGTCCGTGGTCGTGTCGTGGATGAAGGAGCGCTTGGAGTGCACGAAAAACATGTCGGGGACCCAGATCCTCTTCACCAGCCGGCCATCAAACGTCATGCTGAGGTTGTTGGTGCTTGGGAAGGACAGCCTCTCGTCCTTCCAATAGTGCCTTAGGTATAGGGTCATGGTGAAGTCCTGGGGGCCAACGGCAGAGAGGAGAACCCTACACAGTGAACCCCCTGGGGGTCAGCAAGACATTCTCTACCCCTGAGGAGCCATCACCAGGCTGGGAATGAAACTGAGCTGCCAGCACTGTGTCCCTCTGCCTGAGGGCTCCCAGGGCCACACACAGGGCAAGCCAGAGAGTGAATGCCTCTGGAAGCAGCCCTCAACCAGACAGTGGGGTTGGCAGGTGAGGATGGAGGGTTGGATAAGTGCCCCAGCTCCCTGGCCCCTCAGTTGGGATAACCCTGAAGTGTGTCCCAGAGTACCCAATCGGACAGCGTTTCACACCCCCATAGTAGTCGCTTTGATGGCACTGCCCTTTCTGCTTCCTTCCCTTCCCTGTCTCACCTCCCCACTTTCTTCTCGTGTTTCCTGGAATCAGCTCTCAAATAAACTCCTCGAGCTAACATACTGTCCCAGGTCTGCCTCTTGGGGAATCCAAACTAAGATAAGGTCTTCAAAAATCCTAGACTAGGAGTTCTAGACTGTTCCATTTTTCTTTTTTAATCTAAATCCAAAGGTGAAAAAAAGGGACACTCCTGCTTCTTCTGCTTTTCCACAGCCAGACAGAATCTGCAGGAGCAGGATGTGCCTGGCTACTTGGCAGCTGCCACCTTGGACCCTGCTGTATATGCCTGAGAGCCTTTGCCCAGAGAACACATCCTGATTCCAGGAGCCTGGGCCCTGGCAGGGGAAGATCAACTTTGTCATCTGGCTCTGTTTCAAACGAATTGGGTGGCTTTTGGCAAGTGTCTTAACCTCCCTGTGCCATCTGTAACATGAGTGAAGGGATGCCCACCGCCTGGGCAGCCGTGAGACCCAGTGAATCCAGGTGAGCAGTGCTCTGGCCTAGCACAGGCCCTGTGTGGATGCCCTTGCCCGGAAAGAGAAGCACTTACCATATCTACCTCTGAGATGCTGTCCAAGCTTTCTACCTGCACATCCACTCCAACAGGAATGGCCGGGCCTGCGGACAGGGCATGGCAAGAGCATTTATTCTTTTAACTTTTACTTTTACTATGGAAAATATAGGCATACAGAGCACTTGCCCTGAAACCTCAGAGTCATGTCGGATTTGAAGGTCTGGTGCTCCCAAATGCCATGCCGAAGTCAAACCAGAGATAAAAGGATGAAATCATGGGCTGGTTCCCTGGAATATTCCAGCAAAAGTAAAAGAAATATTAGTCTTAATCGTGCAGGTGATTCTGAAACAATGAAGTTAATATTCAGCATTCCTGGGTGGTTACACACGTTCATGTAATGCAGGGGTGGAGAATATCCGGCCCATGGGCCCTATACAGCCCTCGAAATCATTTGGTCTGGTCCTGCCAACACAACCACATGGGGGACTCAAAATTCAATAAATCTAGGAGCTTTTTTCATAGCTAATTTTTAAGTTGATGATTTTGTACGGCCCAAGAATGATGTTTTAAGTATCCAAATGGACCTTGGCAGAAAAAAGATTCCCCACCCCTGATGTAAAGGTACAATGAAGACCGAGGTCAAAGTGCATCAGAACCAGATCTGACCAGAGGAGTTACTCCTTAGCATGAGGTTGACCATTTTCTTTTTTATATTTTCCTCCTGACTGCACCCTCTTTCCTCATGGAGTCCAATGCCTCGGCTGGCCATGAGAATGGCATTGCTTGGTAAACAGGCACCCAGACCCACAGTCATCCTCAGATGATTTGCCAAGCCCACAGATCTACATCTTTGCTACGTGATGGAGTAGCTTCCAGGGAGGGACATGATACATCAGGGTGGCCTTGAAGCCGTTAGAGTTTGTTTGGTTTTGTTTTGTTTTTGCATTTCTAGGCCACAAAAATTTAATATTCATAAAGGGTAAAAAAAATCCAACAACATTCTAGAGGGAGTGAGTTGCTGCCCATTTTCCTCCCTGCTTTCAGGCATGTGGGGCAGGCATAGAGCACACCTGGATCATCCATGTGAAAAGGTGGGTTTGAATCCAACAGCAGCAGATTATGAACTGGATAGAGATTTCCTTCTAGAACCTATTTATTCTTTGGGTGAAAGTGACTGGAAAAAATTAAAGGCAAGATAATTATTTCTAAAATAAATATTTTTTCTAGGGAAAAAAACCTTATTTGACACTAAGAGAGCTGAAATCTGGCAGCTTCAGGCTAAGCTTCAAAGGGCTTTGGCATCCCTCTGTGCTAAATGATTATTTTCTCAAGCTATTTTCATTTAATTAAACCCAGCAGTCGACTCTCTGCCCTCAGATATGTACCCAAGGTTCCATCTGCCAGCTCCCAGATGAGAACAAATTTAGTCCAAGGTTGTTATTCAGAGCATTTTCAGGAGGCAGTTCTGTCTTCCCCTTGCCCTTCCCACAGCCAGCTGCTGGCGTCAGCAATCCTGAGCCATCCTTGCAGGAGCAGAGGCCTGAGGAGAGCTTGGCCTGCTCACTGACCAGCAGGCACTTTCTGAGAGTGTGTTCAGCAGAGCTTGGGCAGGGCCCGGCAGGGCAGATGCTCAGAAGGTGCTGTGGGCTCAGTGCTTTGTTCACCAAGCACAACCGAGGCAGACCTTATAAAGGGAGAGCAAAGCTGGACGGTCCCTTGGCTTGATTTTTGCCCCAGACAGTCTGATGGACCCAAAGAAAGAAGACAATCCCCACGAGTACACATCTCATACCTCCGAAGCCGGGCCTCATGCTGAAATCATGATCATCTATCCGCAGAAGCTGCTCTGACTTTGTCGGTGGCGATTTGGTAATGTCAGGGCTTCGTTTCAGAATTGGGCTGCCAAGGGGGAAAAGCAGGTTGACCACATATTCTAATTAAGCCAGATAAAAATCCATTTGCATTCCGGCTTGATCTTGACAGGTTTGATGGGGTATGTTCATTCTTCTTTTAAGCTACTGGATATCCTCCATTCCTTTCTCCAGCCTTCTGGATAAATGAACTGACCCCGAAGGTCCAAGACAGTGATTTGGAACCATGGCTGAGGAGCTTTAAAACACCAGTGTCTAGGCCCCTCCTCAGAGTTTCTGATTTGGGTGGCCTGGGATCGGGGCCTGGACATTGGTATTTTTTTAAAGCTTTCTAGAGCACTTTAATGTGTAACCAAGAATGAGAACTGTTGGTCTCAGTCCCATTAATAACTCTAAATGACCCCAAAGTTCCTGGGTCATTTGGGGAGGGCTTGAGCTACAGGGCAGGGGCACTGGCTGTGGGCTGAGCCTGGCACCCATGGCTGCTGTTGGCCCATCCTGTGGAAGGAGGATGGGTTTGCCGTTGGATCCAATGTCAACCATCCTGGCTCCCTGAGAGCAGCTTCTTGTGCTTCTGCTTCTGAATTGCACCAAGGACCATTTTAATATATTTTCACTTTTTTCTAAATAGGTAATATGTTTGCAAGGTTTGATAATTTTTTTTAATCCCCACCTGAGGATATGTTTATTGATTTTTAGAGCGAGGGGGAGAAAGAAGCATCACTAGGTTACTTCCACTGTTTAAACAGTGGTACATTGTGCATTATTATGAATATCATGCATTATATGCAGCCACTCAAATGGACTTTAAGTAAGTAAACTCGTTCACAGAATCTCATTAAATGCAATAAAGTTACAAAATTATATGCACAAAATAATCCCAAACTAGTTAATATTCAACATATGCTTAGGGAAAAAAAAACACTGGAGAAAAATACACAACAATGTTAAGGTTGTTTCTGGGTTTGGGGATTATGGGTGATTTTTGTGTGTTTTTAAAACTCTTTTCCCATTAAAAAAATTTTAAATAATGGTCATGTATGTCTTTCATAATTAAAAAAAAGCTCTTCTAAGTAATTTTTAAAAGAAAATCTATTTTGCTCTCCAGGACTTCTCTTCATCATTGGTGTTTGCCAAGTCGCTGCTCTAACTCTGGCTTAGGAGAGAAGCTGAGAAGCTTTTGATGACAACCAATAGGGTTTGTTGCTGCTGTTGCTTTTAATCCTCATGAGCACATTTGGTTCAAATAATCTCTATGGCTGCACCGCTCCACAAATTCCACTTCTTGCTCAAGCAACTTCTGACTGACAGAAACAGGGCATATGGCGTGTGCAGAGCAGAACTCACCGTGACCACCGGCTAGTTCAGCTCCCTGGTTTGCGATGTTGCTAAAACAGCCCATGGCGGGTACTGTGAGCTATGGCTGCTGTTCAGGAGCCCACACGTGGAGCCCCCTCTCCAGCCCAGGAGGCCGCACTGAGGAGCCAGACACCCAGCCCCTGCCCGCCCCAAACGAACCCCCAACTTCAGAAAGCTGGATTTCCTTTTATACTAATTTAAATTTCCAACCTCTATTCATATTTATATCCAGAGATAAAGGCAGCTGAGGCTCAATTTGGACCTAAGGCTGATGAAGAACCAAGAGTCAAGAATGCCCTTACTGCCTCCATTTCCTCCTCAGTAAAGGGAGAGAGCTAGGTTACATTTTCTCCAAATGTCCTAATTTATTGATGAATGTCGGGCAGGCGGGTGTGCAGGTATGTCCTTACATGCCAGTGTTGTCATCAGAGCTGCCTAAGTGACTCTGAGTGTGGAAGGGCCAGTCTGGCTCTGCCTAAGCTCCCTCCTCTCGGGCTGGTACAGCCAGAGCAGCACGTATCCATGTTGGCAACGAGCAAGCAAGCTGGTCTGCAGGCAGATCCCTCCCGCACCCTCCCGATCTAAGGATCTTTCTAGCCATTATAGCTTGAAGAAAATGGATTTGTTTTCTTTTAAAATGATTTTCAAAAGGACCCACAAATCCAGCAGAAATAATTAGGACTAATAGAATCATTCTCACTAATTCGAGGTCCCATTTTTTTTTTTTTAGAATTTGCAGATTTGTTCCAACTTAAGATGCAGATATCAAATAACTGCCTTTTTTTTTTTTTTTTAAATAAATGTGCCTATACTGTATTCTTTTTTCCAGACTATCTCTCTCACCTAGGAGAATTCAGAAGAGATTTAGGAATATGCAATGATAGCAATGTGTCTGATATAGCATCATTTAAAAATAAAACATAATTCTAACTTCCTGAAAGTAGGGAAGCAGGAGAAGAAAGGGGAAAGGAGGGAAAAGGCATCCACCTGGAGCACCGTAGGCTGGAAAGGAGTCCAGAACAGCGTTGCAAGCTTGCTTTGCACACCTTCTCCCTGAACCCTCACCCCTAAGCACCCACTCACCTGCCTTTCTTAGGCATCTCGTGGATTTCTCTTCCTCGCCAGTGCACTCTGCTTTCAGTGGCCAAAACCCATCCCCACCACAAAAGGATGACGCCAGCTTTCATATTCTGGACAGCCAAACAGTTCTCTCAGGAAACAGCGAAAGGAAGAGGCTGTTGTGTTTCTCTCTTAAGACATTATTGGTCTGTTCATTATTAGAAGGATGTTTACTCATGAAAAAAATAAATAAACACCACCCCACAGTATGTAATCTGGAGAGCAGGAGAAAGCAGTTTCCACTAAACCTGTAAATCCTCCTACGTCAGATGTCAGGGATTTTCTGGACTGAAGTTGAAGTCCTGTGTCTCTGTCGAACAATTATTTTGACTGGCTTACATTAGTTCATCATCAGATGCGGTAAATAAATATGTTGGTAAAAGTCTGTATTTTCTGGTCCGATGAGTCGAAAAAAGGAAGAAGCGAGTCAAAATGAACCAAAGCAGTTTCCCAAATGAGAAACGTCAGAGGCGCTGAAGTGCGTGGTATGCCCGTAAATGTGCTCCTTTCTGCGTCTATTTTAAGCTTCCAGACAGGATAATTTGCCTTCGCTGAGGATTGGACGGCTCCCCACCCCCACGCCATCCTGTGGCTGAACCAGTGGAACCTCAGGGCTCGGACCCTGGGCATGTGGTCTATAAGTGGCTGATGTTGGGAGGGCTGAAGGGGCAGAGCCTTTTTCTTCTTTGTCGCACACAGAAAGAACTAAATGTCCTTGTCAGTTGTATTATTCCTATTATGAACTTCATCAGACTTTTCACATTTGAAAAAGACCAGTCATAAATTAATAATGGCCATCAAGTCTGTGTTATCTAGTGTTAGAAATAAGACATCATGTGGAGGTGGGGTGCAGGTGGAAGGGGGCATACAGGGGATAAGTGGTAATATAAAATATAAAATAAAATAATAAAAATTTTAAAAAACAACAAGACAACAGGCCCTGGCCAGTGTGGCTCAGTTGGTTGGGCATCCTCTGGGGCACTGAGAGGTCACCAGTTCAATTCCTGGAGGGGGCAGGATTGTGGGCTGGATCCCTTCTAGGGGGCATGCAGGAGGCAGCCAATCGATTGCTGTTTCTCTCTGTTTTCCTCTCTCTCCCTCTCCCTTCCACTCTCTCTAAAATCAATAAAAACATGTTTTTTAAAAAACAAATAAGACAAAAGGCTCAAAATGGAGTTACTTACCCTAAGCCCCACTTCACCAAACCAAGACTTAATTAGTTTTGGCTCTCCCAGAAGTGGAATTGTAAACCAGGCAATCGGGAGTCACCTGGTCCCTGCTTAGGGCATCTGCCTGACAGGCCCCTGTGCAGAGGACAAAAGTTTCCTTCTTCCCTCCTAGGTTCTTTGGTTGGTCTAATAATTAAATTGACACAAGACGTATTAACATGAGAAAAATAAATTTAGTTTCATATGTACAGGAGCTCTATAAAAAGATGAGACCCACAGAAATGACCAAAGCAGGAAGCTTTTATACCTTTTAAACAAAGAAAAATAAATTTGTGAAGAACTGACAAGACAGAGATTTGAGTGTGGGGCAGTAAATTGTGAAGTAACAAGGTTTGTTTACACAGCCTTCTTTGCCCTAAATTCCTTATCTCTGGTGATAAAGATGCCTCTACCTTCCAGTGCAGGGAAGGTACCCTTCACATGGGATATTTATTTCCTGCTTTCAGGTGTACAAAGGAAACTCAAAGTGTCCTTCTTGCACAGGCAGATTCTCAGGTAATTTTAATTCAAAATAGTCAATATGTCAAAGTGGCATATTTGGAATGTGGCATATTCTGCTCCCTTTCAGTTGGAAAAAATCAATTATGCAATTAAGGCCTTGCCTAGAATGTCATAATTAAAAATAATGCTCATTTAATTAGGTGTAAAAAGCCTAGTTTAAAGAACAAAAGTTGGCTGTACTTATGTAGTAATAGAAATCAATAAAGATTTGCTGCATGAATAGATGTCTATGTCTAGATTTTTTTTTTTTCATGTAAATGTCCAATTGTTCCAGCATTATTTCTTGAAAAGACCACCCTATATTCATTGGCCTTCACTCCTTTGTCAAAAATCAGTTGACTATATTTATGTGAGTCTATTTCCTAGCTCTCCATTCTGTTTTATTGATCTATTGTCTACCCTTCAACAATACTACACTGTCTTGATTACTGTACCTTTTTACTAAGATTTAAAGGAGGAAGTGTCAGTCCTCCAAATTTGTTCTTCTCCTTCAATATTGTGCTGACTGTTCTGGGTCTTTTGCCTTGCCATATAAAATTTAGAATTAGTTTTTCAATATCCATAAAATACTTTGCTTGGATTTTTATTTGAATTGCCTTGAATCTATAGATCAAGCTGGGAAGAACTGGCACCTTAGCAATATTGAATATTCCTATCCAGGAACATGGAATATCTCTCCATTTATTGTGTCTTCTTGATTTCTTTCACTACATAAGTGAATGAATTAATAAATGCTGCGAGTAAGACTTGTGTTTGGAATTATTTCTGGAATGTCAAGAATCTGAATCATACCTTAGAATTTTCTTATTTTCAAT